ACCCACAGGGGCGGTTCCCCCTGCTCCCTGGGGTCTCCAGGAGCAGTCTGAGCTGTCTGCACCTGCGAGGGCTGGACACTGAGTACGGAGGACAGAAGAAGGATCGGTGGATGGTTTGAAGTACGGTGCTGGTCACGACGATTGTCAGCACTGTGGGTGGCCAGAAGGACGACCAGATCTGTGGGAAAGAAGCACAGCCAGCGTGCCCCTCAGAGGCCCGGAGGGCGAGACTGTGTCCCTTGTACTTCGGACCCGTCGTCAGGAGACCAGTCCCTGGAGACGGGCATTGTGCTCGGTACAGTGGAGGGGCGGCCACCGAAAGGAAGGCCCTCGGCGCAATGGAGGGCACAGCAGCTGAATCCATGGGGCCCTCGGCGCAATGGAGGGCACAGCGGCTGCACCCATGGGGCCCTCGGCGCAATGGAGGGCACAGCGGCTGCACCCATGGGCTCGGGAACAGGAGCGTTTGTGCGGTGGCGCAGGACCGGACGCTGTTTCGTCCAGCTGTGCGCGGGGTTGCTGTGGGCCAGAACCCACTCAACGGGACCCAACAATCAGTGGCTGCAAGTCGGGGGTCACCAGCATGCTCTGGACACCCCCTCTGTGCCCCAGCCCTCAGCACTTGGGCCAAGGGGACGCATGACCTTTGACTCCTGTTCAAGATGAGCGCAGCAGCAGTCGCGTGCAGGGAGGGACCCAGAAGGGAAGACCTTGATGGTAGATGCTGCTTAGCAAACCCAGGGGAACACAAGCCCGTCCACCACCGCACCCCACTCCTGGCTGCTCAGCAGACTCGCAAAGGGCCCACAGCGTAAATGTAAAGGCTGGGGCTGAACCTGCTCCCAGGGACAGCTGACCCTCAGCCAGCAGCACCTGCTGCTAGGAGACCAGCAGCCGCTCACACGGAGAAGGGACATTGTTATGCAGGGCCAGAGCCACCTCCTCTGAGAAGCCCGGCGGTCTCCGGTACCTGGGGCCCTGCTGCCTGCCAGGTGTCCGCCAGCACCATTGAAGGCAGCCAGGATGGTTCCTCACAGCCAGATCAGCTGCAACCACCTGGCCGAAGGAGGGACACACACACACACACACACACACACACACACACACACACAACTGTTGTGTTGCACTGGCCCCTTCTCAGCCCTTTTCCCACTCCAGGTTGGTCTGCATAGACTGCATGGCCAGGGCTCCTGGTGGGCTGAACTTCCAGTAGGCTCAGCCAATCGGCTTGTCCATGTGAGAGGGAGGAGGGAAGGGAGAGGGGTCAGGTGTTTCTCCTCCAGCCCCCCTCTAGATCTGTGGCCACCTGGTGGCTGTGTCCACACACACTCTGGCTCCTGATAGTCAGCAGTCCCCACCTCTGCTAGTCCCGGGTGGTCCAGCTTCCTGGGGTGGCCAAGCCAAAGTCCCCACTGCCCGGGGCCTGTAAAGTCCACTCTAATACGTAGCTACCCTGTGGACTGGACCGTGGGAGCCACCCCATATGATTTCCCAGGCCACGAGGCTTTCTGGTGGTAGACGGTGCCATATTTCTCCTTTGGAGCAGAGGGTGGGTTCGAACCCTGTGCCACCAGGGCTCCCATGCGCCTGCCCACTGCCCCATTGATCTGGGAATCCACCCACATGGGCTGGAGTCATCTCAGAAGACAGAGCAATGGGGCCACCCCAAAACTGAGCTCCCTGCCAGCGAGTCGGGGCTGACTCATAGCGACTCCATATGACAGGTCAGGACTGTCCCCGGGGGGTTCCGAGACTCTAACTTTGTAGGGGAGTAGAAATCCCCATCTTTCTCCCACTGAGAGATGCTGGTGGTCTTGAACTGCTGATCTTGTGGTTAGTGGCCCAGAGCACAACCACTGTGCCGCCAGGCACTCCTTGGGCCATGCAAGTGGGGGCTTTATTTCCGGGCAGAATCCCGACAGAGTCCACTGGAAAAGCAAGGTAAGATCAAGTCTTTGCCCCAAGACTTCCACCACCCTCTTCTTCCGACCCCCAAGTCCCACTAAGACACCCTTGGTTAATGAGATGGCTATGTCTGTAGTTCCGGGGGTGGTGGGTCCCCTGACGCCACTCTCCCCATCTCCCAGGGAGAGCTGAATTTGTGCCTAGTCACCTGTGTCCTGCAGGGTGGAGCCGCTGGCTGTGAAGACCTGGGCAACGGACATGTAGATGCTGTTGGAAGAGACAGCGCCCCCACCAGGTGTGGGGGGGCACCCCTGCCTGTCAGTGTCTCAGTTCTCTGCCCACCACCCCAGTGTCTGCCTGACCCTGGACCCAAGCTGGGTTCTAGAGAAGGACAAGCAGAGTAGTGGCCTGTCCCTTTAGCTCTTGGGGGGATTTTTAAAGCTGGCTTGAATGTGGGTGGAATCCGCTTCATTTCCAGGTTGGCTTTGCTTGTGCCCACCTGTGTTGTGGATAAGAAGTTGGGCTGTGGGATATGCCTGGTTTCCATCTGGGGCTGGGGTCTGCTCAGTCATGGGGAGAGGGCACCGGGCACTGTGAAGTGTCACCCACCTGAGCAGGTCTGGGTGGGCGTCTGGGCATCTGGGCGGACAGGCTCTGGCCCCCAGTTGGAACAAGCATTCCCTAGGGGACTGGCTCTTTAGCTCACACTTGGGCACAGTGGGAAGCGGCAGGGGACACTCGTGGAGACCCTCTCTGACTGGCGATGGCTGGAAATGGCTACAGACGCCCTGAGCTGGTTCTCAAAAATCACACAGGGCATCGAAGAGCCCGGGGACCATTCCGCTCTATGACAGCTGCCGGACAGCGAGCCCAGAGGACGGAGCTGCCCTTTCCAGCTCTCTGTCCCAGCGAAGGTTGTGCAGGGCGAGTTCTCGGTGTCTCTGCATGCCACCTAAGGTCTTCGCACGCTGCGGGTCTCTCATGCCATAACTCAAACACTCATGAAGTTTGTATGGCACCACCGGGGTAACAGATGAGAAATCGCTCAGTGGAGAACACAGACTGGGGTTCCTTAGAGACCACTCAGCTACCGAGGTGCAACAATGATGGGCTTCTGGGCACGTGTGTAGAGAACACGGATACACGCACAGGCTCCCAAACGCAGGCGGCCTCCCACCCGCTCTGCAGAAAGAAAACAGTGAAATGAAAACTCCAGACGCCCATCAGGACCCAGGGCCTGCTCAGCCTCAGCATCGCGTCCCCGCAGCTCAAAGCCACTCTGCAGGACGGGGCGGACCTGTCTGCCCCTGCCACTCTTCACGGGAGCCTACAGCCTCATCTTCGTCCTCCAGGGGGACTGGTGGGCTCGAACCGGCTGACCTTATGGTCAGCAGCCCATTGTGTAATAAAGTGTCAGCATGGGCTTTTGCTGCCCCTCCCAGAACTCCAGCACCCCTCCCTGGGGGCAGGGTCACCCGCTGAGGGAAATATGGGAGATATATATGTTTTACATATGCACACATACAAACATATGTCATTATACAGGCACCTGCCATACTTCCCACTATTATGTGTGTATGTATGGGTGTATATATGGGTGCATGTGTGTGTTAATGTGCGTATGTGTTTGTATATATGTGTGTATGTATGTGTGTGCATGTATATATGTGTATACATGTGTGTGAATGTGTGTGAATGTTGTATGTGTGTATGTGTGTAGGTGTATAAATGTGCAAATGTGTGTATATGCATGTGCATGTGTGTGAATGTTATGTGTATGCGTATATATGTGTATGTATGTGTATATATGTATAACCGTGTATATGTGTGTGTGCATGTGTGTATGTGGGTGTGTGGGTATGTGTGCATGTATGTTTGAGTGTGTGTGTGCGCGCGCGTGTGTCATCAGGGCCTGAAGCAATGAGCCGTGCTAGGAGACGGAAGGGCCACGCCAGGTCCATGGAGAGGAGGAGGAGGATGCCCACCAGACTGCGGCCAACCCCAGGGCTGTTTCTAGCTGACCCTCCCAGGCAACAGAGATTCTGTTTAATGAGAGTCAGACCCATTTCTAGATCTGGTGGATTCCTCATTCCCAGCCCATCGTTAAATTCAGAATCGTGACAAAAGCCACATGGGCCACTAAGATCGAGCCCACTGCTCCGAGTCGACGCCGGCTCTCAGCGACCCCGTAGGGCAGAGTACAGCCGCCCCTGTGGGTTTCAGAGACCGTAATTCTTTATGGAAGCAGACGACCTCTCTCGCGGCTGTGAAGCAGCCCCCGTGGTTAGCAGCGCCCCCCCTCCCCCCGCACTCCCAGGGCTCCTTACCAGGACCCAACACCGCCACGTTCTTCACCAACAAGGCAGAAAGGTGTCCGTTCCATAGAGAATGCCCTCTGCCTGCTGTCCACTTCTCTCCCAAACCCGAGGGAAGTGTGGGGGGTGGGCTGGGTGGGGAGACATGAGCCCGTCAGACACCAGACTCTCTCTGGATGCGTGCAGAAACATGCTCACCCGAGCAGGCACGCGCGCGCGCACACACACACACACACACACACACATATGTCTACACTGTGCTGTGAAGAACTCTACATATATTACCTTCTGCAGCAGCAGTGACCCAGAGAAGTCACCCAAATGCACCACGACAGCAGAGCCCAGGCGGCCAGCTCAGACAGGTGAGGGCGTGGGGAGCGCGAATCCACAGCACTGCCACCATCACTCGTGGCCCTTTCTGCCGGAGCCCTGGTGGCACAGAGGTTCCACGCTGGGCTGCGATCCGCAGGGTCCGAAGCTCAAGATGAGTAACGGATTCGGTGCTTTGGATGTGTGCTTTCTATTTCCATAGTGTTGTCGTCCGGAAAACCCACAGGGGCAGTTCCACCCAGTCCTACAGGGTCACTGCAAGTCGGCGCCCACTCGACAGCAATGGGTGTGGAGTTTTCTGGGAGCTGTCCAAGCTGCGTCCCCAGACCTGTGGCTGCTGGTCTCTCCTCCGGTCAGGGAGCCCTCCCTCCCGGGGAGCCTGGACCTTTGAGAGACTGCCACCACTGTGCAGGCTGCTCCCAGTCCCCTCTTTCCAATCACACTGTTTGTTTATTCCTCTTCTCCCCCCACCCCCCGCCCCCCACCCCACCCATGATCCAGGGAAGCAGCCAGGAGAGAGGTTAATGCAAATACAACTTTATTCTCCAAGACGGGCCTTCAGGACAACTGCATACCCAATGACAGCCTTCCCACCCACTCTCAGCTCCTCTCCTCCATGAGCCTGGCTCTCAGCAGGGGGCTCCTCAGAGGCCTGAAAACCCAGGTGCCGCCTCTGCAGCCCCCTACCAGGCCACAGAAGGATTTCTGGGTCAGGGTCCAACATGGTCGGAACAGGAAGTTTTCAGAAAGTTAACTCAGTGTGGGGGGAAAAAAGGAACCCGGGGACTCCTCCCTGATTCACCACCACCCTGGGGACGAGTTCCTAGGCTGCCTTTCTGCACGCGAGCAGACAGCCTCGTCTTTCTCCGTCGGTGCGGCTGGTGGGTTTGAACCCCCAATGATGCTTCCCAGACAGTGCCACCAGGCCTCTTAAAGCCTTCACTTAGGACTGGGAGGGCCTTTGCTACACTCACCAGACCAGACTGGTTGGCACCTGACTCCCTGTGCCTGAGAGAAAGGTGGCCCCAGGTGTTTGTAAGGCTGAAGGCTGTCTGAAAACCTGTCCCTGTCCTTGCTTGGCCCATGCTGAGTGGATGTCAACCTCCAACCATGGGGGACTGGCCAGCCTACGAGCAACAAGGCCTCTTGCTTAAAGCATGTACTGCCTGTAAGAAGTGACCGCCTAGGAAACCCACAGGGACAGCTCCCTCTGCCCCGTGGGGTCAGTGGGAGTCAGGATAGTAGTGAGTTTATCTGTCTTGAACCCCGTTCCCAGGGATGCCTTGAAAGGCCCCTCTGGGATTCCCCCAGCCCCAAGAAGCCATGGTGTTTGGTACCGGATGACGTACAATGTCTTTGAATTAGGAAGTCGGATCTCAGGATACAGACACCAGGCTGAGGTTTGGGAGAAAGACGTGAAGCTTTTGGTTCCCAGAAACCCTTACACTTCTTGGAAACCCCCAGGGGCGGTTTGACCTGGTCCTAGAGTGGGGGTCGCTGTGACTTGATGGCAGTGAGAGTCAAAGGTAGGGTATCTGTCCATAAGCCCCAAGCTGAACCTCGGGTTGTGAGCATCTCCCTTCTGCAGAACCAGACCCTGGTGGCAGAGCCTGGCCACCCAGTCCCCCCTCCCCCGGGGCCACAGCCACCTGGTGAAGGTGTTTATTTAGCTGTGGGCTCTAGGTCTGCAGGGTGGGGGGCTTGCTGGGAGGACCCGCTGAAGCCTGGGAAGTGGGGACCTGGAAGAACCATACACACACACCAAGCCTCTGTTCTTTGGGGTCCAGAAAGGACCCTCCAGCCAATCCAGGCCAGCGGTTGTCCCCCGCCCCCCACCCCCACCCCGGCCACTAACCCATCTCCCTCCAGCTGCTCCGTGTGTGTTTGCTTAAAAGTAGTCCGTCCTTTGACATGCGACTCTGGAAACTGTCACAAAACCAAACCCAGGTCTTGAAGAGGGGGAAAAAATCATGGGAAAAAAATCGGACATACCCTAGGGCACCTTCCCCCCAACCCCCCCACCCTTCCGGAGCCCCACTGAAATCTTTTGATCCCTTATAAACAAAAGCAAGCAGACAGGAGGAGGTTACAAATGTGTGTGCACTGGAGGGGGCCTCCCTGCCCTCCCAGGGTCTACAGCGGCCTTCTAAATAGAGAGGCTGGCAAAGAGGCGGAATTAAAGACGCCAACCGAGCATTCAGGCAGCGGACAGAGCTTGTGCCTTCTACAACCCAGGAAGAAAGAGACCTATTCTCCACCGGAAATGAAAAATGTCCCCGGTCTTGCTGGACGTCCACTCGGCATTGGTCGGACCCCAAAACACGGAGGTCACCGTTGGGCCCCCACGACTGGACTCGAGGGCCAGGTACAGCTGCAAACGCCCACCACCCAGACAGGCTCAAAGCCCAGGCATACCGCACACCAGAACCAGGCAGCAGTGTGGGGATGGGAGACTTCTGTCTGTCCATCCTGGCTGTGACTGTCCAGCCGCTCCCTCCCTCCCTCGGGTGTCCTGGAGGCCCAGTGGTGGGTCGCCGAAGTTGGCACCATTCCATGAGGTGGAGACAAAGTCCCGGCTGTTACGTCTCAGGGCGACTCTGGGCCGGGAAGGGTCCACTGCTGAGACGCAGGCACAGACGCCCCCACGGCGGAGGCAGCGAGGAAAAGGCAGCTCGTCATAGACCTTGGCCCTGCCCCACGGGAGGCCAGTGCGGACGGGGGCGCGCCACTGCCCGCCTTACTGGAATTGGAAGGCCGCGGCAGCGGCGGCGGCCTCCGAGAGCTGCAGGGGGAAATAGGAGAGGAAGGGGATGCCCAACTGGTAGAAGCCGCCCTGCACGTGCGGGTCGAGCATCAGCGAGGCGTTGAAGGGCGGGCGGAGGCCGGCGGGGCTGGCCAGCGGCGAGGGGG